AAGCCTTGAACGTGTTTAATCTGCACTCCTAACAGCCACCTTTACTGATTGAGATACACACATTCATATATTCAAACTTTCTACAGTTTTGAAACTCTTTTACTGATAAGTTCTCACTTTCTCACGTTTGAAGTTAGTAGACCATTTGTAAATAGGAAAGAATGCAATGTTTGTTGAGGTCATGTAGGAAAGTCTTATTTTTGTGGTGGTAGCACAAATTCTGAAATCCTCATCTTCTTAAAGGTATTATTATTTGTCCCACAGATTATTTCAAATAAAAGGTATTTTTTTTTAATGGGTCAATATGACAAAGCTTGTCAGAAGTCACATTTTTATTTTACTTCCACTCGTGGGACAAGTTGAATAGACTCGTACAGTATGTCACTGTCAACAACTGCTGTATAATGTAGTTGAACTGGAAGCTCCTTTTCAGCTTGTCATAGACACAGCCTGTGCATGCCTCATAGTCTGTTTGTGTTGGAGCTAATGGAATATATATAACTTTATAGCAGGTATTGGAAACTGTTATGTTGAGTACTTAGTAAACTGTAAAAAGTAATCAGTAAATTATAAAATGGAGTAAGTGTAATGCAAACCTGTTTGCAAATGGTGAAATGGTGACTCATCTCAACTCGGGAATAAACCTAGCTTTATCCTACAGTATCTAATGTTCATCTTGGATCTAGAGTTGCATATCTATGAATTTTAAAGACAATGCATATATCCTAAGAATTTTGGTATACATGCTGGGCCTCACTATGTGTAATACCAGTGAACAGTATATAAAATATATAAAATATAAAGTTTATAAATTGCTTTTGACTCCTACAACAGTGACTTGTAATGACCACTACCATGCCAGTTGATTGCATGAAATGAGTTATTCTCTAGGCATAAAATGTAATTGTTCTGAACATGGTGGAATTTTTGTGTGAAATATTAGTAACAGAAACCCCTGCCATGTGAAATTATGATCTCCAGCAAACAATTTTTTCCCCGCATATCCTTATTACGGGAGAACAACAAACAATCAATACATGTCAAGCCGAAAGATGTATGTATCAGTAATTATATTTATGAAATGGCTACAGCAATGGATTTGCTGGTAAATTCTATCAAAAGAGACAGGAAGGAAATCAGTAGACTTAGCATCGATATTCTGAGATTCAAGACATTTAAATTGTTTTATTAGCAGTGATACATTTGTAAAGCATCTTTTGGCTTTGCTGTCTTAAATTTAAATTGCATGTAAACAGATTTTCAATTAAAATTGTCTCTTGGTCATTTTAGCTCTATATTGTATGTAAGGTAAATATAGAGGACACAAGTCCCTGCACATACAGTACTGTATTACAACCTTATGTTACAATTTAAACTTACAATAAGTCATTATGTAGTGACACATGCCAGCAAAACCTAAATAACATTTTCCATTAAACCATACATTTTTGAAGATCATTGCATACATAATATTGCAGGCAACTGCGATAATTATTTATGGTATATCTGTTAATGTTTTGGATTTGAAATGGTACTGAAATTGTTATATCAAAAGAAAGCAAGGCTTTGAATATTTTTTATTATTATTATTATCATTATTATCATTATCATCATTATAGATCTCTACCATTTCATTTTACTTGCACACATCTTTAAGAGTTTTTGTGGTAGAAAGGCAATCATTTCATTAATCAGTGCAATAATTTATAACTGTAATACATTTCTGAAATATAAAGAGGAGTTTTTTCAAATATTAAGTACTACAGGTTCTATTAAAAAAGTATTGAGAACTTTTTTAAGTTCTCCTCTTAATTCAACTTTTAATTTGATAAAAGATCTCTTTGTATGACTTCATGGCCAGTTCAATTGTGATTTGACTAGCTAAATACAAACAGGAATTTAAATGCATGTATGTCCTTTTTTACACTTGAAATCTAATGACTGAGTCTAAGCATAGAATGAATGCGAAAAAAATGTTCAAAAGACCCCAGCCATGAGATATGAGAAATCAAATATTTATTTTCTTTTTATTGTTTAGAGTTAAATTAATTTAAAAATTAGTACATTGAGCTTTTAATATTTCCATCCTAGCTAGTCGCTATACACACTGCATACAGAACTTCCATTAGACACTTTTGCCACATTAAAAAATGTGGACATGTGGACAATGCGTCAAACTGCATCAGATTGCCGCAAAGGCGGCAGGAAAATAAAAAGATGAGAAAAATGTGTTATAGTAACAGGATGGAAGATTGTGTTTTAAGTTGAATAATATTGTATAACACTCCCTGAACACTGGCGGACCCATTAGATTATAGGCTAAGAAAACTGGAGACTAAAGGAAAGAGGTCTTGATCCTTGATTGAAAGACTTGAGAGCACTGGGGCTTCTATAACATGTTTTGGGAGGTTGTTCCGCAGTTTAAGAGCCCTGTAACTATAGGCTCTGTTGCCAATACTTATTTTGAGATTCTTGGTAATACTAGGTAACTGCTGGCTTTGCACTCAAGTGCTCTGCATGATGTGTATGCTGTGAGCAGTTCACTTAAATAGAACTAGACCTTTTAGTGCTTTGTAGGACAAAAGCAGTGCTTTAAAGTCTTAACTAAAAGAAACTCGTAATCAGTTTAAAATGCTAAAAGATATATATATATATGCACTTGAAATGATGTTTTTGTTTAGTGACGTTCATGTTCAGCAGCATTTTGGACAGTCTGAAGTCTGAATATAATGCAGTTGAGCAGATCAGACAATTACCCATTCATATAATTCACTCTGGATGTAACAAAATTTATATATGAGTGTAAGAGTTTTGCATTGAATGAAATTGCCCTGTCTTGGAAATATTTCCAGACATGTTTTTTATGTGTAAATTAAACAAGAGGACTTAATCAAACAGTACACCTGAAATACATATTGAGGTTGAGACTGTACAGTAGCTGTCTGTGTTTCAACTATTGTGATACTCCAAGGTTTATATTTCCTATTAGAAAAAACTCCACCATTATGTATGAATTTCACGTTACAAACTAGTCATACTAGTCATCCAGTTTTTAATTTCAGCAAGCCAGGAGGATAGATTGTTTGTGGCTGAGGAGTCATGGGGTTTCGCAGACAAATACAGCTGTGAAAGACAAATAACAGTGAAAGTTTACATTCCGTTTCATGATGAGGTTCCCTAGTGGGAGCATGTAAGGGAAAAACAGAATAGATCTGAGCATGAAAATAAAATAGAATCAATTTGCTGTTTCTCCCCTTCCCTTTTTTGCATTCTTTATTTTGATAGTTGTTGCTTTACCTTCAATTATCTTCTGTAACACAAAATCTTGTTCACCCACCCATTTAATGACATCAATAATAATAATAATAATAATAATAATAATAATAGCTTACACTTATATAGCGTTTTTCTGGACACTCCACTCAAAGTGTTTTACAGGCAATGTGGACTCCCCTCCACCACCAACGATGTGCAGCATCCACCTGGATGATGCGACAGCAGCCATAGTGCACCAGAACGCTCACCACACATCAGCTATTAGTGGGGAGGAGGGCAGAGTAATGAAGCTAATTCATAGAGGGAGATCATTAGGAGGCCATGATTGGTAAGGGCCAATGGGAAATTTGGCCAGGACGCTGGTGTTACACCCCTACTCTTTTCAAGAAGTGCCCATGGCTTTTTAATGACCACAGAGAGTCAGGACCTCGGTTTTACGTCTCATCCGAAGGACGGCGCTTGTTTACAGTATAGTGTCCCCGTCACTATACTGGGGCATTAGGACCCACATGGGCCGCAGGGTGAGCGCCCCCTACTGGTCCCACTAACATCTCTTCCAGCAGCAACATGCTTAGCTTCAGTAGGTTGCCAGTTGTGAGTTGCAGGGTGATATGGCTGCTGACAATAACAACCTATGGCTGTGGCACAACCACATCTCCTGCAGCTGGACGTCCTTCTGCATGCTTGGACGTGCAGCAGAACTCCAACACACAGGATGCTAGAATGTTTTCAGGGGTTTGAGGAAAAACTCCTGGGATCTGGCAAAGTTGTGACTCTGCCTTAGATATGGACCAGAAGTAATCTAGTCTCTCAGCTAATGCTTTAGCTTAACCACACAAATGCTGAAGGAAGCTTATATGATTGAATGATAGGATATTTTGTTTTTGGCAGGTAAGTACTTTAAAAACAGAAATAATCCATTAATAAAACTGTAATATGCAGTTGACCACCCTCCTTATACTTGTTTGCTCTGGTTAACGTTTATTAACGGTTTTAATAACCACTGCACAGTGAACTTTCACTTGAAAATGTTTTTAAAATATAAATACTTTTATATACACGATACCAAAGTATATCCACATTTGTTTTTGCTATCAGACACTGAAAGAATATAGAAGTTGACTGGAGCTGGTATGCTAGATACAGAACTGGCAGCACATAAGGGTGTGATTGAAGCAAGCGAAAGAGAGAAAACTACAAGATTCCCTTCATTTGGCGAATCATTGCTCTTATAATATAATAACATTCTTTCATATTAAACCTAGGAATACTGGCAGTACATGTTCAAAATGGGAAGGAGCTTTTGGGTGATTTGCCTAGGAAATTCCATGTCCACTAAGTACAATATAGTGGCTGTAGTTTCTCCATTTCTTGTAACATGACATCAAGATTACAATATTTATTTCTCAATATTTCTATATTTCTCTAACTTTGTCTTGCAATCTACTCTTTATGCATACTTTAACTTTTCACTCCTCACGTTCCAGTCATCAGTTCTCATTGTCATGTCAGTTATGATTGTACTTTGAAAGAAATGGTAAAAAGCGGTACTAACTGCTGATGTAAAATTGAAAAAATCCTGCCACGTATCCTGTGAGTTACAATTTTCTGTACAACACCTCCAACATGGAGGCCTCTTTATGACTTTTAATAGGGATCTATGCAATGTCACTCCCCTGTTGCCCATCCCTTTCAGTAGTAACAAGATGTTTTTCTGTTTCAAGTCCAGAGAAAGCACTGAAGGACTCCCTCCAGCCTTATGAAGCCGCCTATCTGTCCAAGTCGCTGTCCCGGCTCTTTGATCCCATCAACCTGGTTTTCCCTCCAGGGGGACGCAACCCTCCTTCCACTGATGAGCTGGAGAGCATCATTAAAACCATAGCAAGGTACTGCACTGATGTCTGATAATGGGGCCGCTGTTGTGTCTTGAGGAGCACACCGTACTCATTACCGTGAACGTAATTACAGTTGTATCTGCTAAGCATTGCTCTGTAAATATTTCAAAGAGCTACTGAAATTTACAGTTCCTTTAAATGCGAATCAGAGCATAGTTTTGACTTAAAGGGTACTTTTTAGGTCCATTTTAGGACATTTTAGTTTATAGAAAACAGTAGTGTGCTTTATTGGCTGTCAGTTGATTCTGCTAGTGGTGGTATACATGGGGCAATTAGTTTTTGCTCCAGAACAATACGACCACTGTAAAACTTCATTGATTAGAAAGTGAAAAAATCACAGAAACATTTCTTGTCCTTTCTTGAATTGTGGAATGATTTACTATGTACTCTTCTCTTGCTGTACAAGCACAATTGGATCCAAAATTTCTGCTTGTAGGCAAAAGCTTGTGAATTCCCATAAAAATACATGTAAAGGTCTTCAATTCATTCAAAGTGCTTATAACTGAATACAAACCAGTTTAGGTATTTTTCTGCTATCAGTGATACTGGTGAAATTGATACTGTGCATACATTGTGCTCATAGTCAAAATAAAACATTTTATTGTAGAAAATGTTAAAGTTTGTATTTTTTACAAATAATGTATTCAAAATATTATTGTACACCATAACTAGTCTAATACCCTTATGGTTCCTTTTAAGATAGTTAAGAAAATAAGAGCCCAGAAGAGAGAAAAATGAAAATGTAAGAAAGGGCTACATGCTTGGAGAACATATTAGCATATTAATTCAATTGTCTAAAAAAATAAATATGAATATATAACACTCGTTTAGTGAGTATTTGTAAGTAAAATGTTAGTCTAATGATGGTGGGCACGTACCTACAAATGAAGAAGTGAAATTTACTTCTCTTTCTTTACCACTGTGCTTAGATTGTCTTGTTTCCATGAATATCTTAATGGTTATATTTCCACTGAGTTTTTTAAAGGATATTTTGTTGGTAAACCCTATTCCTTTTCATTTTTCTTCTTCAGTGAGCTGAATGTGGCTGCGGTTGATCCAAACCTGACTTTAGCCGTGGCAAAAAATGCAGCAAAGACCATTCAGCTGTTCTGTGTAAAATCAGAGCAACTTGTAAGTCCCAAAAAATCTTTAATTAACAGTGTCTTTTCTGGTTCTTATCAGCCGAAATGCATCGATAAGTGATTAACATAATTACCAGATTGATATTAATTTTTGCCTTCTGGGAACAGAGCCAGACATTTTTGTTGATTGTAGTCTCCGAATATCATGTGTAGCACCCTGGCAGAATTAAATTTAGAGTACCCGTGTCTTCAGTGTAACACTGAGTACATATTTTGTTGTAAAATTGTGATATTTCTTGTTTGTGAACTGTTTCATGTGCCTTTCAAACAGAAAGACATTCCTGTCATTAGAATATACCTGAATATGTAGTGACCAGGCTACTGTCATGTCTGCACGCAGTGTTAGGTCATATGACAAATGCTGTGGTAACATGGGGATACTGCGTTACAGCACAAAGGGGTCTTGATGGCTCACTGTCTACCCACAGATGTTCTGTAAAATGCACAATAAACAGCAGGTCTGTGGCAAACACATTCATATAGTCTCTGCTTGCTTTACAACATAACAGCCATGCCAGGTAATTTGGACCACCAAGCTTTACCCCCTACATGCAACTTACATTTTATGCTCTAAATATACTACTTGTTCTTCATTATGGAGAAAAGAAAAACAAATCAGTCTTTATTGATTAGATTTTTTCCATCTACTTTCTTGTGTTTAACTGTGTTTGAAGATCTGCAATCCGGACATTTTCCTAATGCAATTAGGAATTTTGAATTTTCCATGAAAGGGTTAAATAGATCTTGCTAATGCTTAATTGGTTCAATTTAACTTCTCCCCATAGCTTCCAAGCAGCTAAAGACACATGAAAAAAACTGCTTGAGGATCAGAATTAGACACTTCTCTTTTTAGGCATTGACTTTCTGCTTGTGATGAAGCAGTGCACGTTTTATAATCATCTAAGGTTCCTCCACACCATGATTCGCATTTGATTATGCCGTACGTAGACGCCTTATGCAGTCTGTGGCAAAAATGTAAGATTTACATTTCTTGTGCCATTAAAATGTATGCTGCCTAATAGCCACCCAAGCAGGTGAGAGTTAAAAAAGCACATTGTTATTCATGGTAGAACACGTTTCAGAAGGAGCCCTGACTGTTGCAGGCCAAATATATTTGTTGACTTTGATGATGTTTGTTCTGGTGAAGTGTTCGGAAAAGAAGAGTGACGCTTAACAAGCTCTGTATTGCACAGCAGCTTACAGTCAGTCTGAAACAATAAAGACAATTACATTTATTTTGTGGTTAAAATCAGATAACAGGTGAGGAGCTGCCATGTCACCCAGAACAATCACCTCCAGGGCCACATTACACACACGGTTTATGCTGTCTGCAGCCTGTCTGTTTATCAGGAAGGGCAGCTTTTGAAAACACCCCTGGCTCTGAATTTCAATATATGGGTTATATTTCAATATACAGTATGTTGAAGTTCAATATATGGTATATTTCATGGTATATTTCAAAAGTGGGTGTTGTACATTAGTTTGCTACCTTTCTAAACGCCTGGGCCTGAAAATATAACTACAAACATGATTGATTTCTCTTCCTCAATCCCTCATTTCATGTGCTTTTCTCTCTCTCTTTATTGTTATTATATAGTATTGTAATCACATAATTGCACTAGAATCTTTAAAAGAACCTTTAAAAACATATTAAAAGATAAAGAGTCTGCTTTATCCCGGGTTAGGCCAGTTCAGCCATTCTTTCCTAGTTTAGGAATAACCCTGCAGAAGCAATAATTTGTTTTAATCATTTAACATAAATGTATTATTTTGAATGATTTACATCTTGTAAACTGTAACGTGAACTACAGGTATCTTAATGAAATATAGTAGAAAATGTTGTAACAAATCAATTTAAGAGATTGCTGTGTGAAGTTGATACTTGCATCTTTTCTAAAACAATACTGGCCCTCGTTCTCTAGTTATTGATTTCAGTAGATTCTTAAAGCACAAAATGCCGTCAAATTATTAGCCTAAAACATTGCATCTTACTGGGTGCATTGGGAAGGTTTACCTTTAAGAAGACAGCTTTTTTCTAATAAACTTACTTTGTTTGCTTTAGCAATGGATCAGAACAATGTTAAATATTTTATTAAAATAAAATGGTTTAAGGGAGCCTTCCTTTTATCTGTTGAGAGAACACCAACACTAAAATAAGAACATAAGAATTCTTCCTGCTTCGTCCTGTGAGCCATGTACAACCCATTCAGTACTTTCCAAAACATTTTAGACTTAAGGATTCAGACAAAAATTAAAAATAATTATTTTTTCACATACATTCTAATAGAGTCAAAGTGCATGGCATGCTTTATCATGCCAGTTTAAACTTCATATTATAGATTAGTTCATTGTCATTTAATATAAATTAGTTATCCATGTTATGCCTTGTTTTTAAACTGTAGTCTTGGATAGAGTGTTCATTGCAATATATTGCATTGGTCCATTACTTCTCTCAACATTGGGTTAAGGATATTTGGCTATTGTTACCTAAAACCTGTAATGATGTGGTGTTGCTCAAACAACAGACTGTCCGCTCTGTTGGTCCTTATTCCTTATGAAGGCATTCTTACCCATCACAAGCAGACAGCTGGCTAGCTATTGCAGATAACAGCATGTGTGCACAAGAGTGACATGGCAGGGAGAGGTCGAAAGTGAAATAAATAATGCAGACATTAATGTCTCTGATACAAAAAATCATTTTCATGCCTTTCTCCTACCTTTGTAACTTTATTCATAATAAAGTCTGTGCTAAAAATAATCGTTGTTAACTTGTTAAAAAATTACTTCCTGCAGATGTCATATTTCTTGAAGAGGGGCTGACAGAATAATGCATTCCACATCACTTTACCAGAAACATACATTAAGCACGTTATCCAGCAGACAAAAGCAAAAGTGTTCACCTTCCTGCAGTATCTATGGCATAGAGAATCTGCAGCATAGTAAAGTTAGAATTGCATCCCAGTGTTTAAAATTGAAATACAAGATTATCACAGTAAGAACATGTAATATATTTTTATTCGAACAAAATTGCATAAATGGATATTGTGAATAGGCTATGTTTCCGAGCACAAGGATTTTATTGCCTTTTGTATCTTCTTTTGTAATCTTCTGTTGCACAATGTTTCTGCAGCTTTGGATAGGTTAATGTGATCTGGCTTGTGAATTCCTTTCCCCATGTTCGGTGCAATTAGATTGTTGGGTTTCCTGTCCATCTGGTTTTCCTTTGGAATAGTAAATAGGATTTCACTGGACCTGGAGAATTAAAGCAAACCATTCAATCTCTGCCTCACCGTTTTTAATCTGAACTTCAATCCCCTCTTTGAAAGTGCTTCAGTTTAAGACTAATCAGATTCTTAAATAAAGAGTGTTGCCACAGAACTTAGCAGCATTGTCTACATTTGGACATACAGTAGACATAATGTTCACATTATGTAGGCTACGTAACTTATTGCATTTGTTTTAGAGTAAATTTGATTATTAGATGTACACATTGGTAGCCTCCATCAGAAATCATTGTGCTTGTTTTCCTACAAAGTAGGTCCATTGCCTGCTTTACTTTTAAGGGACATCCATAACAGTATTTGTAGATATTTCACATTATCTCCCAGATCCAGGAAAACAGGGAGTAAAATATTTTACTTTTTACCTTTCTTTTTTAATAACTAAGCCTGCAGTAGTCAGTGCTTGGAATACCAAAATTTATTCTCTCCTCTTTTTTATTCTTCTTGATGTAAATTTCGAACGTTTTGTCTAACAGTCTTCAACATTGTGAAAGTCATTTCCTGGTTGAACTTGGTATTAAAGTGTTGTAATGTTATTTGAATGACATTGTTTTTTTTGCAGAGCATTTAATTTTAAATGCCAATACAAAATCAGACAGTATACATGTATCCGAAGATACTGTATATAAAGCTGTAGCTTATTCTTCTCGATCCTAACCCTGAAGCCATCCCTCTGTCTTCTTATTTTCATTCCAGCTGAGATCTTAATCACTGAGGCTAATTGATATCTGTAATTGAACTTCTTGCTTGATTAGGACTTTTTAATATGTCTCTGTACTCAAAAATATTCTGCTGCAGGTGTTGTTTTAAAGACAGCAAACTAAACGCCATTCTCTTTTCAGCTTGTATTTTCAGTTTTTGTTCCCTTGTAATGGTGACCAGACACTGATCAAAAGACACTATACAGTAACAGAACATAGTGTCTACAGAGATTCGCTTACTTAAATTCCACGCACCTGAATCGAGGTACAGTCCAGTACATATAGAAAGTCTACACTCCCTTTCTGAAGTAACACATTTTGTGGCATAACAGCCTGAAATCAAATCAAGACATAAGTGAAAACAACTGTTCAGGCATTCTGAAAAGTAATTACAAATGAAAATGTAGAAAAATGGGTTGGATACTCACTCCTTAGTAATAGCAATTGTAAATTAGCTCTGGTGAAACCAATTGCCTTCCAAATCGCACAGCAAGCTAATTAGCCTCCACCTGTGTTCAATTGTAGTGACTCTGATGATTTCAGAATAAAATCAACTGTCTCCGTAGGTGTCTTCTGCTGGGTAGTGCATCTCAAAGACTCAACTATGGGTAACAAGGAGCTATCAAAGACTGCAGGGATAAAGTTGTGGAAAGGCACAGAGAAAGACGTCGATATTAAAAGGTCAAATAGGGAGATGCATCAGCTAGCATAGGCTGCAAAGGAACAGGGAAAGATTTATTCCGTGCTGAAAAGATGGATTCTTAAAGAAAACCTGATGCCCTCTGCAAGGAGGCTGAAATTAGGAAGGACGTTAACCTTTCAACCTGACAATGACCCTAAGTGCACAGCCAAAGCAGCAGAGGAACAGAACGGTAAATGTCCTCGAGTGACCCAGTCAGAGCCTTGACCTCAATCCAACTGAAAAGCTGTGAAATGACTTGAAGCTTGCAGTCCATCAACAGACCCCTCACAATCTGACTGAGCTTGAACAGTTCTATAAGTAAGAA